CTACTCTGTCTTCTTCTGTTTTCCCCTCTGTAACATGACATTTTTTCCTATCCCTGCCCTGTTCCTGCTCTTTGTTATAGTTCAATATATTTTAGGTGAGGAAAATGGTAGTAAAAATGTCTGCTCTCCAACACTAACTGAAGCAACATCAGAGCAACTGGGAATGAAACAATTTGTTCCCGAAGGGGAAACTTGATGACTAACAATTGCTTTGAAATGGGGGAACGGTATAACCGTGATGCTCAGGGTTTGTTTAGACTAGGAAAAGTGATGGAGTTTAGGTCAGGTCAAGGGGAAAGCTAATGCCAACCACTGCACCTGGACTGCATCTGCTCTACCACTAGAATTGTCTTTTCACACCAAGATCACTCACTTGAGCAGCCAACGCCATGTACAGCCCTAGTGGATGTAAGGCACAGTGTACATTATCTCAGTGTACATGGTTGTGAATGAAACCTCTCTCTCCTTCTGGGAGCTGATGAATATTCCGGGCTGGAGGGACACACACTCCTACGACTCAAAAGGAAAGCAGTTGATAGAAAAGATCACAAGACTGACCCCAAAGAAGGGTGAGCTGCAAAAGGCAGAAGCAGACAACTGATCTGGGGGAGCTGAGAGACCACGGTGAAGATGGTGCGCAGATCACTATGTGAGAATTAGCAAATGTGATATTAAAAAAAAAATAAAAATCTTTGCCCAGCCCTAATCAAGGCATTTCTTACAGTTTTCTCTCATGGATTTTCTGATGTCTAATAAGCTGTGAGCTCTGTTTGAAGCGTTTCCCACACTCAGAGCAGGTGTAGGGCGTCTCTCCTGTGTGGATTCTCTGATGTGAGATGAGAGCTGAACGACGAATGAAGCGTTCCCCACACTCAGAGCAGCCATAACGTTTCTCACCCGTGTGGATTCTCCGATGTGTGCTCAGGGTAGAACTGTGATTAAAGCTTTTCCCACACTCAGAGCACATGTAGGGTGTCTCCCCTGTGTGGATTCGCTGATGTGAGAGGAGGGATGAACTGTCAATGAAGTGTTTCCCGCACTCAGAGCATCCATAAGGTTTCTCTCCAGTGTGGGTTCTCCAATGTGTAATAAGTGTAGAGCTCCGATTGAAGCTTTTCCCGCACTCAGCGCACGTGTAAGGCGTCTCCCCTGTGTGGATTCGCTGATGTGTGATAAGGTTTGAGCTCCAACTGAAGCTTTTCCCACACTCAGAGCATGTGTAGGGCGTCTCTCCGGTGTGGATTCTCTGATGTCTGATAAGGTCTGAGCTCCGACTGAAGCGTTTCCCGCACTCAGAGCATGTGTAGATTTTCTCCCCTGTGTGCATTCTACGATGTCTGATAAGTTGTGAGTACTGACTAAAGCGTTCCCCACACGCAGAGCACGTGTACGGCATCTCTCCTGTGTGGAGTCTACAATGTCTGATAAGTTGCGAGTGTTGATTAAAGCGTTCCCCACACGCAGAGCATCCATAAGGTTTCTCACCCGTGTGGATTCTCCGATGCGTGATAAGGTTTGAGCTCTGAATGAAGCTTTTCCCGCATTCCGAGCACGTGTAGCGTCTCTCTCCTGTGTGGATTCTCTGATGTTTGAACAGGGTAGAGCTGTGATTGAAGCTTTTCCCACACTCGGAGCACGTGTAGGGCGTCTCTCCTGTGTGGATTCGCTGATGTGAGATGAGGGATGAACTGTCAGTGAAACTTTTCCCACACTCAGAGCACGTGTAGGGTTTCTCTCCCGTGTGGGTTCTCCAGTGTGTGATAAGGTGTGAGCTCCGACTGAAGCTTTTCCCACACTCAAGGCATGTGTAGCGTGTCTCTTCCAAGTTGATTCTCTCACATGTAATAAGGGCTGAGTGGCTACTGAAGTTTTCCTCTGGCATCTGCTCAGTCTCACAGGCTTTTGCTTTTTCTGAGAGCACACAACTCCCAGAAACATTCCCGTTCGATCTTCCTGATAACATCCCATGGGGTTCTACTTGCTCAGCACCTTCCTGCTGGGGTGTCTCCTCCTCATTCTCAGTCACCCTCCCATCACCTGATGGGGGACAGAGAGAATCCAGACCTAAGTCACTCCCTGCACCGGAAAGAAAGGAAATCTCAGACAGAGGAATGGAAAAAGGGATGAACAAACCAAAATGTGAGTTGGAGAGATCAAATCTATCACGAGCTGATTTTCCCCAAACCCTTCCTCAGAGGAGAAAGGAAGGGATCAGTTTTGATCTGCATCTCACCAGAACACTCAGGAGAAAGCGAGTCTGGGGAGGGATTGTCAGTAAGAATAGGTGGGAAGCCATGAGTGACATCTGCCATAATGATTCCATTCTGCAGGGAACAATCCTGAACTTGGAGAGCTCACAAAGTCTTTCTATGGCATCCCAAATGTTTCCTGCATTCCCAAACAGTTTTTGAGTTGGTTTAACCAATTCATAGAATCATAGAATATCAGGGTTGGAAGGGACCTCAGGAGGTCATCTAGTCCAACCCACGGCTCAAAGCAGGACCGATCCCTGACTAAATCATCCCAGCCAGGGCTTTGTCAAGCCTGACCTTAAAAACTTCTAGGGAAGGAGATTCCACCACCTTCCTAGGTAACACATTCCAGTGTTTTACCACCCTCATAGTGAAAAAGTTTTTCCTAATATCCAACCTAGACCTCCCCCACTGCAACTTGAGACCATTGCTCCTTGTCCTGTCATCTGCTACCACTGAGAACAGTCTAGATCCATCCTCTTTGGAACCCCCTTTCAGGTAGTTGAAAGCAGCTATCAAATCCCCCCTCATTCTTCTCTTCTGAAGACTAAACATCCCCAGTTCCCTCAGCCTCTCCTCGTAAGTCATGTGTTCCAGTCCCCTAATCATTTTTGTTGCCCTCCACTGGACTCTTTCCAATTTTTCCACATCCTCCTTGTAGTGTGGGTTCCCAAAACTGGACACAGTACTCCAGATGAGGCCTCACCAATGTCGAATAGAGGGGAACGATCACGTCCCTCGATCTGCTGGCAATGCCCCTACTTATACATCCCAAAATGCCATTGGCCTTCTTGGCAACAAGGGCACACTGCTGACTCATATCCAACTTCTTGTCCACTGTAACCCCTTGGTCCTTTTCTGCAGAACTGCTGCCGAGCCATTCGGTCCCTAGTCTGTAGCGGTGCATGGGATTCTTCCGTCCTAAGTGCAGGTCTCTGCACTTGTCCTTGTTGAACCTCATCAGATTTCTTTTGGCCCAATCCTCCAATTTGTCTAGGTCCCTCTGTATCCTATCCCTACCCTCCAGCGTATCTACCACTCCTCCCAATTTAGTGTCCTCTGCAAACTTGCTGAGGGTGCAATCCACACCATCCTCCAGATCATTTATGAAGATATTGAACAAAACCGGCTCCAGGACCGACCCCTGGGGCACTCCACTTGATACCGGCTGCCAACTAGACATGGAGCCATTGATCACAATTCCTCACCTGCGCAGGCAGCTCTCGGGAGCACTTCTTTCTCAGAGCCCCAGAGGTCTGAGACCCATGGCTCTTCCCCTCGTTCTAGCTGCGAGATCACATCAGGTTTGGAAACTGGAAACCCTACTCCAGACAAAGAAAACAAGGGAGGTCAGTGGAATTTGTCAGATACTTGTCACAAAGAATATTCCATGGTTTTAACCCCAGATCATTTTTAAGCAGTAACATCCCAAGGCCACCTTCCTTGGCTCAAAGTGGCAGGAAAGTAATTATTATTATAAATCATTTTCATTACCTTAGTGCCTAAGGACCAACTAACAGTGGGTCCCCATTATACTAGGAAAAGTACAAACAGAGAATAGTAGATGGCCTATTCCTGGAAGAATTTACAATCTAAATAGACAAGACAGACACAGAATGGGGGAAGGGGTAGAACCCACAGTTAGAATATAGATATTCAGGCCTGCCTGTAAAGCCTACACTTTAAGAATGTAGGTGTATTTTTATCACTTAGCTACTTACAGGGGTATAAAAACAAAGAATCAAAATCAAAGTCACCCTGCGTATGGGCCTTCTCTCACTAGGATAGTCTGAGGCCTTGTTCTTAGGCTAAGGCCTCTGGCTCAGCAGCAGGGGCAGCCATAAACTGGGAAGCGTAGGGTCACATCCTCACATACCAAACCAGTCACATTGAAATAAGCTGGTATGGAGAAGACAATCCTGTCTGGATAGTGCCCATCACTATCAGATGAAGAAACAGATCTTAAGATGGTTAAAGAAAACTTAGTTTGATCGCATCCTGTCTGGCAAGAAATCACTTATCAATGCTTGTGAAACCCTCATTTCTTTATGTTTTATTTTTATGGCCCCCACTTTTCTGTTGTTAATCAGTCTGGTTCTCTAATTGTTTCCGTCTGCTGTATAATTAATTTTGCGAGGTGTAAGTTAATTAGGGTAGTGGGATATAATTGGTTAGAGAATTATGTTACAATATGTTAGGATTGGTTAGTTAAATTTCAGTACAATGATTGTTTAAGGTATAGCTGAGAATATTACTATATAAACTGAGTCAAACAGGACGGGGAGGGGAAATTGGAATCATGTTTGATAAGGGGCGGGGGGAAATGGGAACAGGGAACGGGGACACAGGCAGGCTCTGCGGCATCAGAGCTGGGAAGGGGGACACAGGGAAAATGCTTGGTGGCGTCAGAGAGAGGAATGGAACACTGGGGAACAGTCTCTATCGGCGTATAGACATAAGCCTGACTGGTGTGAAGGGCTTCGGAATATGCTTGCTTGGAAACTAACCCCAATAAACATTGTATTATCTGTGCTTCGGACTTCTGGTCTTTTGCTGCTTTCTGTCTGCGTGACAAGAACCAGGGAAGTGGGAGGGTGAAGGGAAAGCCCTCTAACAAAACTGACATGACCTGATAACCAAGAGGTAAGCCTTTAAGGAAGGTTTTAATACACTTTGGAACAGATCAGGGATTCCCATGAGGACTGATGAGGGGGCGATGGTAAATACACTTTTAGATCCTTTTATTCTTTTATATCTTTTCCCCATCAGGCACACGGGCACACTGTCATGGATCCATAGGATCTGTGCAATGCCCAGGCTTTTAAACAGTCCTTGGAAGGTGCCTCTTGAGTGCACAAAACTCCCAAGGGGTCCCACTCTTCCACAAGGATGGGCCATGGAGCTTCAACACCAGAGACTGAGCCTCTGGCTTCAACACTCCTATTCCAACCTGTGAGCTCTGCCCAGCAGGTCCAGCTGAACGACACTCCTCTTCAGAGACTGTTCCTCAGTCAATGCACAGAGCAAGTTTTTCCTGTGACACTGGGCAGACTTTTAAAACACAGCGGGGTTTACTAGTCAACCAAAACACAGCATTGGAAAGTCCTTAGATTAGGACAGAGAAGTGAAGAAAACAATATAGTCCATGCTGGCCAATGCCCTTGAGCCATGCTGCTGCAGAAAACAGTTTGGTTTCCTTTCACTGTGCCTGTCCATTAGTCTTCACTCCGGTAGAGCTCCCTGCGTCTGTGAGCCCAGTTCTTCCTGCTCCCAAAAACATAACGAGTCCATGTATGCTTCACTTAGCCAAGCAAATATCCTCCCATGGACAGGTGACAATTATTCCCTTGTCTCTGTCGGGTATTCCATTGATGTGGGTTGGTCCCAGCCAGTCCTTAATGACCCATTCATATCACCGCATCTCAGCTACGTGACAAAACACCTCATGTCTCCTGCTCTTTATAATCATAGCAATACCAATCACAGAGGGAAACTGAGTTGTCTATTGGCATCATACATGTATCACCAAAATTCCCACCTCTATCTCACACACACACACACACACACACTGCTCACTGCCCTTGGAGAGAAAGCAAAGCACAGGAACTGGAGGTTAGTCCAGCGAACACAGTGAAAAACAAGCTGCAATCCTCAAACTCTGGTCAAAAAGGAGAGGCATGTGGGTCCCTATCCATAGAGAGGGGCTGGCTAGAAGCCTGATACCTGAGAGGGCATTCCTTGAGCCGCCCATGGAGCCAGGTCAAAAGCTTAGCTACCCCAGAACCGTGACATCACAAAAGCACATTTTTGGGAATTAGGAAACCTACTGACTCAGGTATAATGGGAGGGAGAGTTAAACTCCCCCAGTGTGTGGAGTAGGCTGGGGAATTAAACACTAAATTTTGGGAGCAACAGCCACTAATTCTTCCAGAAAAGGAGAATGTAAAAACAAGAACTGGGACACGCAAACTCAGGAGGGACAGGCTCAAAGATCCAAGGAGCCTGGAGGGAAGACAGCTTGTGGCTGCTGCAGATGGGAAGAGGGGGGGACAAGACTCTCTCCAAACTCTCACTCCTATTGACCCCGACCTAATTTTATGATCTATGACCACCATGTCTTGTGGGCAATTTTATACTCACTACAGGTAAAATGTCATGATCAGAGTATTGCTTATTAGCTTGGAACATGTGCGGAGGGGGAAGGTGGTGAACATAAATAAATGGGCTATTAAGGGCAGGGACTACACTACAGCCAGGATCAAAGCTCTGAGATCGATCCACCGGTGGTCGATGTAGCGGGTCTAGTAAAGCCCCGCCAAAATGACTGCAGATCGCTCTCCCGTCGACCCCTGTACTCTACCCCTGACGAGAAGAGTAAGGTAAGTAGACCCTGCAGTAACTCGACCTAAGGTACGTCGACTCCAGCTACATTATTCACGTAGCTGGAGCTGCGCAGCGTAGGTCGACTTACCGCAGTAGTGTAGACATAACCTAAGATTGCTACAGGTAAGGGCCTTATATTAGGTTGAGGCTTTGTGGGAGTAGTTATGCTGAAGTCTGGGATTTACCTGAACAGGTCTAAGGAGAGAACCCCAGGTCAGATATTTTGCACCCTCATTTTGAGAAACAAACGAGTAACCACAAACAGGTCCAATACGCCACAGGATTCTGAAAGAAGGAAGTTTGGGGCGGCTTTAGCAATTAGGTTGCTATGCAGTATCTCAGCAGTTGGACATCATTCATATATTGGAATTATTAAGAAATAAGTGATGTAAATCATAAGTATTAATGCCTGATGCTTAATTATGGATTTCCCAAAGGCCACATATGGGTTGGGGCAGCTATTGACATTATTGTAATCAGAGTAAAGGAGCAGATATGGTATATAGCCATCCTATTACCATAAGAAAGCAGATAAAATACCTCTCCTAGTAACCATTTTTTCATTTTGTCAGGTCCCCGAGACAGTGTAAATTGAAGCAGGGCCTCCCTTCTGATGGTCTCCCTTGCCCTCGATTTTGGTTTCCAGTGGTGTCCATAACTGGTAAGTATGCACAGTGGAAGACCCTCTTTACTATTCTTATCTTAGTCTAATCATTATATGTATTGATTTTTGCCTATGATATCAATTCTAACTGTCTGTATTAAATCAAGTTTCTGTGTGTTTCACCCTATGTCATCTCCTCCATTAATTTTGAGTAGCCATGGACAAGGGCAAGTTGTACCCCAATACGTAACCTTATAGTTGTAAAAATGGTTCAGGCTACACTACCATCCTGTGACATCATCAACAAAGTGCCCATTTGTGCCTGGGTAGCGGCCCTGCTATGGGAGGGAGGAATGCAGCAAGGACTGAGGATCGGTGGCCAGGGAGGCTGTGTATAGAGACGGGGAGGTTATATGGGGAGGGAGGTCAAGAGTTAAAATAATAGTATTTGGGGAAAAAAAATGTAGAATGAAGTGAAACTGAACAGAAATAAAACTGGAGTGTAGGCTCTAAAGCAACAAGGCTTGGGTAGTGATTCGGGGTTAAAGGTCTGGATCCCCCACAGCTCTAGATCCCCAAACCTCTCCTCTCTCCCGCTGACCCACCCAGCCCACTGCCTGGGTGTCCTTCCTCCACACTCCCCTCCCCTTCGTCCCATTACTCTCAGCCGGCACCACCTCCCGGCACCTTGGGAACTTCTTGTGTTCCCTCCTCATCTCTATCTCATCCCTCCCTGCTGCTTCTTAGCCCTAACCCTGCACACACCTTCCCCATGTCCTGGCACCCCAGAATTATTTACTCCCCCCATCTCCTCCCCTCCCATGGCTCTGTTCTCCCTTCACCTGTGGGGTCCTGAACGGCAACATTATACGCTCTCCTATCAAAAGAGGAGCTCATCTGACTGTCACACAAGCCATGCATTAGTCATACACCTATTTACTCAATTTAGAATTCTACAGGCAGCGTATTTTCCTCTTAAAATGAGGAAAAGGCAAGAAAGCTACAGTTATTAATGTAGCCAATAAGGATGGCACATGTCCAAAAATTATACTAGTGGGTGGTAGAGAAGGCAAAAAAAGGGGGGCAAGGAAACTTGTCAAAACTTGTATGACGAATAAAGGTATAAAGTTATTACTACTCAGGTTCTTTAGAGACCCCACAGCTTCTAATGAGGAAGGGGACAGGACTCCTTACCCAGAAAGACCACCGTCTCATAGTTCTCCTGCATGACATCCCTGTAGAGGGCTCTCTGAGTGGGGTCCAGCAGAGCCCCCTCTTCCCTGGTGAAATACACAGCCACTTCCTCGAAAGTCATCAGCCCCTGAAAGAGCAAGAGTCCAACACTCAGGACCTGCTGCCCCACTCACAGCCCCACTATTCAGGGAATAGCAGCACCAGGTAAATGGAAGCTCCAGGAGGCACATATTAACCGAGTTCCACCGCACCTTGCTTAGAGCAGCCAGGAGGCATCAGAAAGAGAGAACCTTTGTGTCTCCCAGCTGACAGATGGAGGCTGGGTCTTCACTTTTATCACATACCTACTACCCAGAGCTTGAAAAATGAGATGGTGCTGTCTCTGGACCCTGCTGGTGGCTCCCTGGTAGGAATCCCAACACTCTCCAAATAAAATACATGGAAGAAAGGGAAAGTCAATACTAAAGAATGTAAGTTAGAAGGTCAGAATTGTAGAAAATTGGTAAGGGAAGCTATCAGAAATCAATGATCAATCAATGAAAATGAGAACGAAGTTTTAAAAAATATATTCAGTACAAAATTAATCCTAACAATGGTAGTGGTAAATTACTAGATAGAAATGCCACAAAGATTGAGGGTGGTGGTAACTAATGAAGTGTCAGTAAATTCAGGCTCCAGCACTGAGAGTCTGGGAAGTTTTCCCAGCCCTGGCTGGAGCGTTATTTCCTTTTCCATTCCCAACTCCTGTGCCCTGAAATAAGGCCCTATCTGAAACTACACCCCACATTCAGCATAGTGGTATGATTATAATATGATTAGGACATAATTATGAGGCATTTCATGCAAGATGCATCACGTGCGGTGTCATTGGAAAAGTTATGATTTGCTGAATATGATTATCCTACCTGTGTGCATGGATCATGTTTGTATCTGAAGTTATGGATATTGACTATGTATCTGTATTTCAAATGTGGTTACTCTGGGTAACACCCACAACTAGCCTTTCAGGTACAACAATGAAGAAGCCAGACAGTGCTGATGGCTCATCAACAAAAACAATGGACCAAGGAAGAGCTTAGCCTTCCTGTGAAAGTTTCAGTCGGCCTATGAGTCATGGCTACTATGACTCATCAGGGCATGCTAGGGCATGTGACCAGACCACATGAAACTGAACTCCATTTTGGTACCTGTATTTTTCCACGAACTGAACTGGGACGTGAATTTGGAACAAAGGGTTCCCACCATATGGAAAAGCTACCTAAGCTGGGGTGTGACATCATCTCTTGGCCTCATTCCCCACACAAGAGAACTCCTGGAAGCACCTGAGGAACAAAGACTGAACTGGGGGAAGTGTTGGTCCCAGAGTAAAGGGATTTCAGGCTTGTGTATGGAAACTTGGTGGACTACTTCTATCATCAGTCAGGGTGAGAAATTGCTAATTCAAATTCTATCCATCTAGAATGTTACGCTTAGTTTGACTTTTTGGTTATTTGCTAAGTAATCTACTTTGATCTGTTTGCTAACACTTATCGCTGGGAAATTGGCCATTGTTTTCTATCTGTCCTTCAGTGACTTAGGTAAAGCACTCAGGTAACTTAGTTGGATGCATGGCGCCACCTGCTGTCATGTTGGCTGATAACAGGGCTTGGAGAGTCTGCCTGAATCTCCAGCAAAGCAGTGTGAGAAGGACCAGCCCAGCTTGAGGGTTAGAGGGCACAGTGGTTCCCAGAAGCCCCCCAGACTACACCTTGGGGTGACAACCTATCACACCCTAGATTACACAAGTCTCAGCAGGTTTGTCACATCCTGTCCCCTCCCTTTCTCCATCTTAGATAGTTCCTGCCTCCCATGACCTCTAGCAGCTCCCACCCTCCTTTGTATTTACTGCTTCTCTCCCTCCAAGCAGAACCCACCACCAGCTCCCTGATAATCCCTTACCTGAGCCAGCTCCATTGCAGCCATTTCCTTCCCCCTGGGAGGAGGGGATGATCTGGAGCGAAATGTGGACATTATTCTGAAGCCTGCCAGGGCGAGAAGAGCAACGTGAGAGAAATCAGATGGGGTTTTTGTCCATTCTGCATGCTGATTCCCCCCAGGATTATGCCCTGCTAATGGACATTCTAGGTTCTGCCACACTGTGAAGCACAGAGTGACCTTATTCCAGTACAGGCCTAGCCCCCTCCCACCAGGGTGTAACCCTCTGAGACACGGTGAAACCCTCCCAGTAGCAGAGTCTCTCTGTTACACTTATCAAGTTTGTGGAGCATACCAAGGTGGGAGGAGTTGCAAGTGCTTTGGAGGATAGAATTAAAATTCAAAACTTTCTGGACAAACTGGAGAAATGGTCTGAAGTAAATAGGATGAAATTCAATAAGGACAAATGCAAAGTACTCCATTTAGGAAGGAACAATCAGTTGCACACATTTCCCATTTTGTATGACTGCCTAAGAAAGAGTACTGCGGAAAGGGATCTGAGGGTCATAGTGAATCACAAGCTAAATATGAGTCAACAGTGTTACACTGTTCCAAAAAAAGCAAGTATCATTCTGGGTTGTATTAGCAGGAGTATTGTAAACAAGACACGAGAAGTAATTCTTCTGCTCTACTCTGTGCTGATTAGGCCTCAACTGGAGTAGTGTGTCCAGTTCTGGGTACCACATTTCAGAAAAGATGTGGAAGAATTGGAGAAAGTCCAGAGAATAGCAATAAAAATTATTAAAGGTCAAGAAAACATGACCTATGAGGGAAGATTGAAATAATTGTGTTTTTTAGTCTGGAGAAGAGAAGACTCAGCAAGAGGTTATGAGTCTATTACAGGAGTGGATGAGTGAGGTTCTGCGGCCTGCGATGTGCAGGAGGTCAGACTAGAGGACCATGATGGTCCCTTCTGGCCTTAAAGCCTGTGAGTCTATAAACTGTGCCTTGTGTTGCGCACACACTGATGGAGATCAGGGCCCCATCATGCTGCACATGGTAGAGAACCTGACTGAGATCAGCACCCCCATTGTGCTGGGCACTGCACAGACAGAGAGGGACAGTCCTTGTCCCAAAGAGATCACAATCCAAGTAGACAATGGGTAGGAGAAAAACAGAGAGGGGCTGGGACTTCCCCAAGGTCACCAAGCGGGTCAGTGACAGAGCCAGGAACAGACCTCAGTAACTCCAGAGCCCCAACACTCTCAGCTTGGAAAGTCCCCAGACCCCACTGTTTCAGAGTAACAGCCGTGTTAGTCTGTATTCGCAAAAAGAAAAGGAGTACTTGTGGCACCTTAGAGACTAACCAATTTATTTGCATCCGATGAAGTGAGCTGTAGCTCACGAAAGCTTATACTCAAATAAATTGGTTAGTCTCTAAGGTGCCACAAGTACTCCTTTTCTTTTTGAGACCCCACTGTATTAGGCTGCAGGAAGAGGTGGTTTGTCCAGGGATGCATAGGCTGTCTTGGCAGGGCAGCTCAGCTGCAGTCCCTGCACACAGCTGGGGGTGTGTGTCATGAGTCAGGAGAAGTCAGTGTCCAGTCCTGTGGGGCTGTGCTCCTGGCTCATGCCCCTCCATTACCAGCTGCACTGTTCAGCCGGCCCCAGGTCTCCATGAGGTCACCGTTTTCATCCTCCCGCCGCAAGCCTTCAAACTGGGACATGGTGCACCCGTGCCAATCAGACTGCACTAGTATAAATTCTATTTCTAGCTCTGTCACGGACAGCCTGGGTGACCTTGGACACGTCAATGTTTCTCCTCCCAACTTTAGTCTATTTACCCAGCTGCCCACTCACTGGGGTCTCCTCTCTCTCTCTCCAGAGCTGCTCACCCCTAAAGTCTGTGTGGAGGTCCCCAGGGCCAAGGTAGCTCAGCTCTGGAAGAGTCTTACAAGGGCGGCTGTGGAGTCTCTCTCTCTGGAAGTTTTTAAGAACAGGGAGGACAAAACTCTGTCAGAGATAATCTACCTGCACTTGATCCTGCCTCGGTAGAGAGAGCTGGACTTGATGACACCTTGAGGTCCTCTCCAGCCCTACATTTCTATGGTGCTATGCAATATATACATATAAAAACACAACATACAGAAAAATCCCCACCGCAACATAATGTCAGGCAATTTAGGGAAAACCCCCCCACCAAAAAAAAAAAAAAGAAAGAAAAACTACATTCCACGTCAGTTGTTGATTAGCGGTAAAATCTGAGTGTATTTCCCATCACTGTTTGATCAACGAACCGAGAGAAAAGAGGCAACATTTGAAAAAAATGTATAGTCACACTGAAAAATCGGCAAAAAGGGCTAAATCTGAGACGTGGTTCGTATTTAATCATTGAAGAGACAGGGCCCAACACTCAGGGCCCAGCCCAGTAGAAATAGACAACGAGAGAGAAAGTGGGTGGGGATGGGTGGGGGAATTTTAGGATATTTTCTATCCATCTTTGAGAGTTGTGGGGGAAACGGGTCACAAACTCCGCATTTGACAACAGGAGAGAAAACCCCCCAGAGCAGATCCTGGGAACTACAGGCCAGTCAGCCTCACCTCAGTCCCTGGAAAAATCATGGAGCAGGTCCTCAAGGAATCAATTCTGAAGCACTTAGAGGAGAGGAAAGTGATCAGGAACAGTCAGCATGGATTCACCAAGGGCAAGTCATGCTGACTAATCTATTTGCCTTCTATGACAGGATAACTGGCTCTGTGGATGAGGGGAAAGCAGTGGACGTGTTGTTCCCTGACTTTAGCAAAGCTTTTGACACGGTCTCCCACAGTATTCTTGCCAGGAATTTGAAGTACGGGCTGGATGAATGGACTAGAAGGTGGATAGAAAGCTGGTTAGATTGTCGGGCTCAATGGGTAGTGATCAATGGCTCCATGTCTAGTTGGCAGCTGGTATCAAGTGGAGTGCCCCAAGGGTTGGTCCTGGGGCCGGTTTTGTTCAGTATCTTCATAAATGATCTGGAGGATGGTGTGGATTGCACTCTCAGCAAGTTTGCAGAGGACACTAAACTGGGAGGAGAGGTAAATACGCTGGAGGGTAGGGATAGGATACAGAGGGACCTAGACAAATTGGAGGATTGGGCCAAAAGAAATCTGATGAGGTTCAATAAGGATAAGTGCAGGGTCCCGCACTTAGGACGGAAGAATCCAATGCTAATGTAGCCAATCCGCTACAGACCAGGGACCGACTGGCTAGGCAGCAGTTCTGCGGAAAAGGACCTAGGGGTGACAGTGGACAAGAAGCTGGATATGAGTCAGCAGTGTGCCCTTGTTGCCAAGAAGGCCAATGGCATTTTGGGATGTATAAGTAGGGGCACAGCGAGCAGATAGAGGGACGTGATCGTTCCCCTCTATTCGACATTGGTGAGGCCTCATCTGGAGTACTGTGTCCAGTTTTGGGCCCCACACAACAAGGATGTGGAAAAATTGGAAAGAGTCCAGCGGAGGGCAACAAAAATGATGAGGGGACTGGAACACATGACTTATGAGGAGAGGCTGAGGGAACTGGGATTGTTTAGTCTGCAGAAGAGAAGAGTGAGGGGGGATTTGATAGCTGCTTTCAACTACCTGAGAGGTGGTTCCAAAGAGGATGGATCTAGACTGTTCTCAATGGTAGAAGATGACAGGACAAGGAGTAATGGTCTCAAGTTGCAGTGGGGGAGGTTTAGGTTGGATATTAGGAAAAACTTTTTCACTAGGAGGGTGGTGAAACACTGGAATGCGTTGCCTAGGGAGGTGGTGGAATCTCCTTCCTTAGAGGTTTTTAAGGTCAGGCTTGACAAAGCCCTGGCTGGGATGATTTAGTCGGGGGTTGGTCCCGCTTTGAGCAGGGGTTTGGATTAGATGCCCTCCTGAGGTCCCTTCCAACCCTGATCTTCTATGAGGCTACGGAAGGAGGGGAGGGGAAAAGGGGGTCAGTTTGAAGCAATTTTATGGGACTGTTCAACACCTATAGAGAAAGTGACAGGTCCCCCCCTTCACAGAGGCTGCAGGGGCAGTTTGAAGGGGGCCGGGGAGGGGGAAGGTCCCTGGACCAGGGAAGAGGCAGCAGCGGGGGATGGGCAGGTGCAACACACACACACACACACACACACACCCCGTCCCCTGAAACGATCCTGTGCAGTTTTGTCTGCATAACGTTAATAAGATGTCACGTTTACTGTAATAACAACACTCAGAGACTCAGAGACACTCACACTCAGAGGCAGACACACTTGCGCACAGAGACCGTCGGAGACACACTCGTGCACACACTCAGACACGCACAGAAACACATTCCCACACAGACACACTCAGAGAGACGCACAGAGACACAGACACTCACACACACTCACACAGAGACACACTCAGTCACACGCGCTCCCACACTCAGACACTCACACACAGACACACTCAGTCACACGCGCTCTCACACTCAGACACACTCACACTCAGAGAGACGCACAGAGACAGACACTCACACTCAGACACAGACACTCAGAGAGATGCACAGAGACACTGAGACAGACAGACACTCACACACAGTCACACGGGCTCTCACACTCAGACACACTCACACAGAGACACACTCAGTCACACGCGCTCTCACACTCAGACACACTCACACACAGAGAGACGCACAGAGACAGACACTCACACACAGACACACTCAGTCACACGCGCTCTCACACTCAGACACACTCACACACAGACACACTCAGTCACACGCGCTCTCACACTCAGACACACACACACACACAGAAAGATGCACAGAGACAGACACACACACAGACACACTCACAGTCACACGGGCTCTCACACTCAGACACACTCACACTCAGAGAGACGCACAGAGACAGACACTCACACTCAGACACACACACACTCACACACTCAGTCACACACGCTCTCACACTCAGTCACACGCGCTCTCACACTCAGTCACACACACACAGAGAGACGCACAGAGACAGACACTCACACACAGTCACACGGGCTCACACTCA